AGTTCGCATAGGATAGTAGTAAACATATCGAAGAGAGTAGGGAATACAAAGTACAGTGAAGTCTTTGGTTGAGTATTTGAAAAAAAATGATAATCATCTAGTTATAGTTTTGAGTATATATACAGTTTTAATTAACACAAAGAGCATATTTGGTGGGAGTGGTTTATAACAAACATTACATCAGATTTTCCTTTGGATAAAGAAAAACTGTCAAAATCCGATTACGACAAAGGACTCTATTTGCAACATTAAACATTGCAATTAAAATTGGTTCTCGGATAAGAAATTTAGCATAGGAATTGACTTTTTTTGCCATAAAAGGAAAGGATGAACAAAGAAAAACGCATGAGACAATGAATTTGAGGAATGTAAAATTGGTTGAATGATTCATGACATTGTTACAATTTGTGTGATTGATTTGTACATTGGTTTATTTTATCATTTTAGTTCATTAGGAACTTCGCGATATTCAAAATTCGCGACATCTGTAAATAATTTCAAGTGTTGAACGAATGTTTCAACGCTGACAATTGCCTTTGGACATCGCGTAACGTCTTAGGTGCTAATATCTTTATTTTGAATTTTTTTATTCCTCTAGAAAATTCGAATAGAAAAAAACAAAATAAATGCCTTGAAAAGGACATATGATATACTCCTAGTTTTACTATATAAAGCACACATTGAACCTGATGTGATCTAGAGAATTCTCTTGGCGGCGGAGTTTGGTAGTTTATCAATTCTACACCGATCACTTCCTTCAGTCCATGTGTTTTCCAAAAAGTGATTCTTATAATATTTTTATCCAAAGCAAAACCACTGAGATTTTGAATATAATTATCAAACAGTAACAAATCTTGCTGATTACATTTTCAGCACTGAAGAAATTTAAGCTGAAAATTGATCGGTTGGTGAATCTAAGTTGCATTTCCAACTCTCCACTTGTAAACTTTTTACCGATGTTGAATAAAATCGAATAGGCGACCTGATAACGCAAATAAATTGCTGAATATTTTTTGTGATATTATATGGGAAATTATTTTCATAGAGGGCTAGAACTAAAGTGAGTAGATGAACGACTTACTGCCTCAGGACTTTGATTTCTGTCCTTTGTCCTCATTTCTTGAAGGTCCTGACCTCGGGGAAGGTTTGCTGGCCTGATGCGAGTTGGACGGGGAAAATTAGGTGCAAAATAACTGTTATTGGAGTTTTCGACAGCATGCATCCTATGTTGATGAAATGACGGGAGAATTTTCGAATATACCAACAACAAATTCGATTGTGTTCCTGCAGTTTGTAACTGGCAGTCATTCTTGAATAGTTCCTTTCCACATGTTTCCCACATTAGATGTGAAAAATTAATTGAGAATAAAAGTCTGCAACTTGCTATATCTAATTTACAACTTTGTGATAGTTTTTTCTACTCTCACCTTGTGCCACGTTGCAACCTGTGTATTCTTTTAATAACTTCCGCAGTAGGGTGAAGGAGTGAACTTTAGCAAGTACTTTGCTTAATGAAGTGCATTACATGTAGGGTCATTCAGTTGGCATGACATGTAGAGTGCAACGAGCAAGTTTGATACAAAACTGGACTTTTCCGGTTCATTCATCTATCGATCCAAATTGAGATAAAAAATACAGCGCAGTTTCTTATTATTGATGAACATATGGGCGGAGCGCATGCCACTGCAAATCTTTTTTAGTTGGTGCAGTATGCATGCAATGCATACATGTATATGAAGGAGTGTTCGTTTGCATGCTTGTATTAAAAAATCACGCATTTTTTTTTTCAACATGTGTTTCTCTAATTTGTAGTGCTATATTAATTCGTTTCTAAAAATATGTATTATTAAGGCTTGAGCCGAACTGTAAGCAAATTGATGAGTGCCGAAGACAACTCCCAAATTATTGGTGATGGAGAAATGCGGCTAATGAAGCATAGCAATCCAGATGCAGCCCTTGTATTACTCTTCGGATGGGCTGGTTGTAACGATCGATATTTGGCAAAATATGCCAAATTCTATGAAAAAAAGTAACATTCTCAATTTTACATATTAATGAAGAAAGACGCGCTTGCAATAGCTTTAATTGTTTACCTATGGACAAACAATTACGCGAATTTCATAAGGTTTCAACATCTTACGTTATCAAGTCGCAGCATAAATATTATGCTTATGCTGGTTTCTTAAAGTAGTGGAAAAATGACGTCCTCAGTCCTACCTCACAAGTTATTTTTTATCCATGTTATAACTAAAGATGGTGTTGTCAGAAATAATGGACTCACATTCACATAGGAAAGATCTGCAGGCATCGTCAGCTAAGTATAATGTCTGTAAAGTTTTGCATATTCACTGCTATTTTTCACCCCAGCTATCGAGCTAAATTGTCAAGTTATTTGTTCCCTCATCAGTTTTTCTTTTCTAATTCACACTTTTTCCAAATTAATTTTTATCCTAATGTTAATTTCAGTTACTCAGTCTTGCGTATTACGGCTGATATCCAGAAAATCCGGTCCTTCTCGTCTTACCGGAAATTTGCATTGGATATTTATGAGAAGGTTCTTGAAACAACAACAGCACTCTCTATATATTGTCACATGTTCAGCATGAATGGCTGTTCAACGTTTTGTGCTTTGTGGGATTTGCTGGACACAGTCGCGGATTGTGAAGCACTGAAGTCAAGATTTAAAGGCTTGATTTTTGACAGGTATATTGAATAGCTTGTCCTGTTCGAACCATATTCAAAGACTTTTGTGATTTAAAGGATGCAAGAAAGAGCTGGAACTAGAGCTAGAACTGAAGAATGTGGTATACTCACGCTTCTCCTTTCTTTTCTTTGGATAATGACTGATTAAATCGAGACTATTCATTAGTTGTCATTAGAATTGTTGATCTTCTTTTACATTAAGCTATC